ATACATTTTAATACGGTTTAAGAAATAAGAGGAGGCCAAAATCTTCGGTGATATACTAATTTGTAATGTTTAAATGTATTTTTGTGACATGGAAGAGGTCACGCTGTCACCGCAGGGTGAAAAATTCCATTTCGCAAAATAGTAACGCTCCTAAAATTACTATTTTGCGAAATGAATAAAAATCCTTCTTGTCAATGAACGATTACTCAAAATTCCTTGTGAAAGTTTTCTTTACCTTGTTAGAAAATATATCTGCATTATTCCTTTAGTTTTGTTCTATCTCACCTGATTTCGTTTCGTTTCGTTTCGTTTCGCAAAATAGTATAAGCCCATTTTTCGCCTTCAAATTACATTTCCCCTCTCACAAGCGTGTCTCTAAGACTCGAGGGATTTTCCCTTTTGATGAGAGATGATCGGTGGTTTTGTAGAAATTGTTTTCAGCAAGGGCTAATTGTATATCGGACTCCAATGTTCCATCAATATTTGTTTTAAATTTTTAACTGCCAGGTGAAACGTTGTGACCAAAAGCAATGATTCGTGACCTTTTGACTTTTGTGTATGTGTAAGAGCCGATTGTCTAGAGGCAAAGTTGACTCCCAGACAGAGACCTTTCTATGATGTTTTCTAGGTACCTTCTTGCTTTGAAGCGTTGTTTGAGTTTTAGAAAGCCCTCTTCAATCGTCTTTTCGAAGAGCAAGTTATAAGCAATCTTATTCCTTTGCCTTTAATGAAACCATATTTTACGCCTGGTGGGTGCCACGAGGCGAAGTGCGTAAATTGAAACTTCTCGGTCGGCTTGTAATGGGTTCTGATTATCATTCTTTTCATTAAAGACACTTATTTCATGGTCGTATTTTTCGTCATTGCGACGATAATCTGGCGTCTTTGGTGGTGAGATATCGTATTCGTCTTCATCACCAAGACTTGATGTAAGGTATTCCGCCAGAGAGTTGTCAAAGGCAAACAGTGTTGCAACTGTTTATGGTGGTTACAATAGTACCGACAGTTCCGACTCTTCACGAGTCTCTTTGAGCTTGACCTTTTCTACCGCATAGTTCGCTTGAAAAGTAACTAAAACGAATAATTAAAATTTGTTACAGTTTCCCGTAGTGTTTGTTTTCATCCTCATCAAAAAGGAGGAGCTTAAAATGCTATTTTTAGGCTAGATTTTATGTTTTGTGCATTTGTATATAAACTGACCGTGCAAGCTAGAGCGGTTGTACATAAAGGAAGGGGTCTGTCTGGAAAATATCAACATGCGAATAAAGGTAAAGACAGACCGACAGAGACTCTCCATGTGGCTTCTGTGGTCGCGTCGCATTGTCGCCTTCAAATTATATTTATGCTCAATTTCAATTATAATTTGTTTGTTAGGAACATAGAGTTTCAATAACAATTTTACAGAAAGTGCCAGAAAACTCTCTGAAAGTTTAAGACCTATCTTAAAAATTGAAAAATGAAATTGAATTTAAACTTAATGATCAGTAATCTTACAATAATAATCGCGAAACATCCTACCTACTTTTCGACTACGAAGATTTCCTGTCCTGTCCTGCTTATTTAATGTTATATTTATTTCATACTTGAAGTTTTTTCTTTATCTATACTGTAAAAATATTTTGGGGTTTATTTCTTTAATCTGAAAAATTGACTCGTTAGCTCCATTTTGTGCATATCTCAGAACAAAGCGAGGTCCTACAAATACGGAAGAAATTATTCAAATGCCGAGTTTTAATCAAGACGACTGATGACGCGAAAAAAATTATTGCGATGGAAGTTCGGTTAAATAACTAATGCAATTAAGTTATTTCAGCTGGTTGTGTAAGATTTTGTTATTCCTTGATTATGTTTAGCCTACTTTTTATACTGCGAAACTCGTGTCTTTTGAAAGACATTGCAAGAACTCTGTTGGACATTTTCTTGTAACGAAAATTTGGTAAACTGAGTTACCGCAGTGACGAGTGTAGTACTCTCATCGCCAGAAATTTCTTAGAAGGACAAATTAAATGATCAAAAGCTGAATTTTCCCTTAAAAACAACAAAAAAGGCGAAAAAATGACAAAGCATGTAAATTTTGCGAGTAGTTTGAAGCTTCTTCATTAATTTAGCCTTCAATTTTTAGCCTTTGAAATGTTACATTTTTGTTTTAGTGAACTGTTGAGGATGATTTGCTAATAGAGACAGAAACAAGATAAATCTACTTTCTTAAAGCAAGAAAGTAATCTTACCATCCATGCAGGATAAATTTTGTTCAAGGTTAAAAACCAGAGGGATGAAAAACATATAGAGCCAAAGGTCCATGTCTTCAAAACCCGGCCAAATGCTAGAGTAATATTTGATAACAATCCGCTGATTAAAATCGCGCTGCGTAGGTAAAAGAGGGATATGTTTACTTTCCGTCTCAGGGAAACTAATAGTATATTGTTTTGCTGAAAACTTACAGTAGGTTATGGTGTTTTTTTCCTGTTTTTTTCCATCTGCTATCTCTATCTATTGCCTCCGCTTTCCCACATACATTATTTCCTACATTCTCAGTTATATTTTTGTTTTGAACAAACGTTATCACTTTTGTTCTCGCACTCTTTTCATTTACCATAATTCAAATTCTATTAAATTTTTCCCGCAGAATTGTTTTTTCTTGTTTTAAAAAGCTTCAATGTAATTTTTCTTTTCGGTTTTTTTTTCCCATCTGTTATTCTTTATCTGTTGTTTCCACTTTCCCACATTCGTTATTTCCTACATTCACAGTTATATTTTCTGTTTTGAATAAACATTATCACCTTTGTTCTCGCATTCTTTCATTCAACATGATTCAAATTTTGTTAAAGTATCTCGGCAAATCTATGTTTTTAGTTTTGTTTTCAAAAGCCTCATTGTAAATGTGACCCTCCATGGGATTTCAGGGAATAAGGTGAACGCACGCAGACGGTACACTAGCACGTTCAAACAAAAGAACGAGCTTTTAACACGTTAGCTGCGTGTAAGTTACTTGCTTCATTAACTTCGCAGCCATTGTCTTGCGTCGCACGGTAGAAACAAAGGAACGTGTTAGGATCTTGCTCGCAACTTTGCACTATAATTAGAACATAGTGACCGTGCCAATTTTACAACACGCTCTTAAAGTTAAATTCGCTTTCGATTTGTACAAGAAGAACGTCCTAAGATTAAAGGCTTTTTAGCTCACCGATACGCCCGGCCGATATACGATACTTAGTATTCAGTGCAACTAATTCACCAAACGTAAAGGAATATCTCGACTTGTTGTCCATCATTTAAAACAATAATTACTTGAATTTTTTGCTTCATTTTTAAATTCCTCATTTTCGTAAAACAGCTTGCAAAACACGAGCCGAACGAGCAAAGTCCTCTGCTCTTGAAATCGGGCATTAATTTTTGAAGGTAGCAAGTACAACCCTTTAAAATAGTAAGAGCGAACCTATACGTTGCAAAGCAAATGGCTACTTCATTGAGGGTAAACTGTGTTCTCACCGTGTTTGTCTCTTCTGCTAGTCTTCGAGGCATTATTTTTTTTCATTGTTAAATTTGTAAACCGACAAGCACGACAATCCGGTGGTACAGTGGTAATGTCGCCTTTTTTTTTTTTAATACGGACGGAGTTTACAAAATATGCCAGCAGACTCAAACAAGGCGTCATCAAGTGAAGGAGAGTTTGAGTTAAATAGCTAGTGTTTGTATTTTCCATCGATATGTGAGGTCAAAAGGTCGCTCAAAATTGCTGAAGTGACCTGTTTTGAAAAGGCTCTGAAAACTCGACTAACCCATCACCATTCATTGGAAGCGAATGGCCAATTAATTTTATTCTTGAAAGCTAAGGTTAAGAGGGATAAGTGACAGATGACCTGGTCATGCTGGTTGGTTTTTTATGTTAACCAATCACAAACAAATTAGGACGCATATGTTTATATCGAAGAATTCTTTCTAAAATGAATGTTAATATTTCTTAAATAACGAAATTCAAAATCCCCCTCCCCTTCCATTCCACAAATTCTCCTTGAATCTTTTGTTAATTCGATTTTCTAAAGAAGTACCTCTCGCTAATTATTGCCCTTTTCCTGCAGAAAGCTAACGGAAAGTAAAAAAATCTACTTCAAAAACACATCATACTTACATGAATAAGGCTCGAACCTGTGCGTTCACTAGGTAACCACGAAGTCTGCCTTAAAAAAAAATACTGACTCGCGCAAGGTTTCCCATTGGCATTTGGATCACAGACGTGGACGGAAGAACTGCATTCGTCAACATCTGCAAATAAATCAAATAGTCAGTAGTGGAACTCCGATTGATAATTTTTGCTGCCTGTAACTCTAAAAGGAAACATACCAAAATCTTTAACACCAAATACTCTTTACAGAAGAGGTTAAAAGGGAGAAGTGACAAGAGACCTGTCCAATATCTGTGGTGTTATTTTTCAACACTTGGGCGCACTTGGTTATATCGAAACAATTTCGTGGAAGGATGTTCAAATTTGTTGGAACTGCACAATTCAAAACTACACACCTCAGTGCATAAAGGCCTTGGCGACAATACGGGAAAAGTACTTAAGGACAAATAATGCAAATGCTATTTTCAAGCAATCGTTTATGTGAATGTTTTTCACTCAATCACGTTTTACATTCAAAAGTGAAATTATTTCAGGAACAGTAATGATTGTCTACGATTTTTGATTGGGAGTTTGCTCTGAGAGGATACGCGAAAAAAAACCCAGATCGATTTTCACGATGAAATAAGGTACCTTCTGTTTTCACGTCGCAGTAAGCGAATACAATCTTTCAGGTATAATGGAGTAAACCCAGAATCTGGCACTGACGGCTTACCCTCCTTCACTCGTCTTAATCTCTTTACACGTTTCAGCCGGAGGTTCTGAAACGGACCCGAGAGGCACTGAAATACAACGGATTGTTTCTTGTTCACTTATGTCACTTATCATTCCATAATATAATTATTCTTAATTCTTCATTTTCTCTTTTCTTCTTTTAGCATTAAGATATTACCTCTCTTCGTGCCTTTTTTAGTACAAAATCCTCTTCTCTGGCTTCCTTAGAACGGTTGTTCAACTCGCAAATGTCTTCGGTGAAGACGTAGTTGCAACTTTGGCATATGATATCTTGGTAACATTCCCGTAAACACACATCACCGAGATCCACTTTTGGGATCTTTTTGAAGATGTGTCCTTGCAGCATCATACCCAGGATCGACACCTCTCCTTTGGCGTTGCTGTGTTGAGAATTTGCATCTAAGAATGTTGGACTTACAACCATTAGCAGTAGCAGAGTGAGGGCCATCTTGCTCCACTCAGCAGCTTGATGACCCCTGATGGCGATAAAAGTATCAGTAGATTCGGCTAATGGAAAAATTTGCCAAGTCGCTAAGACTTAGTGAAAGGAGGCGACAAGATCGTTTAAGGATTTATTTATTGTTTGCGAAAAATTTAGGGGGCGTCAATAGTTGTCTACAGTCATATGAAACAATCCTCTCCCATGTTAAGATGAATAAACGACCCTCAGGAAACCGCAACGATGACGTGGCCAAACAAAAGATCTACTTCACAGAACAATATCTCTGCATGTGCGTTTTTAGCTTTGTACATTTCTTAGCCCACTGAAAAACAACTATGTGAAATCACGACATTTGCGTGGTCTGAGAAACAAAACACCGAGGGTGAATTAATGTAATTTCCATTATTATTTTGATAGTGAACAATATTTCCATGCATTATGCCGAAGTTGAGATTTGCCATCTTGATAGACAGTTGACGCATCTAGCCATTCGCTAAAAGTATAAAATTAATTCTAAGATCAAACCACGTCTTTCTCGGCGTTACGGTACTCACACCGTAAGGTCCCTCTAAACGAAGTTAACCCTCCCTGAAGGGAGGGTTAACGAATTTTATTCAACATATTAGGTTCACAAGACTCTAATATAGATTTATCTGAGATTATACAAAATGTAAATTCCTGGTAATAATTCTCCTGATCTATCCTGACTATTTTTATAAACAGTAGCTGTACCTTTTATATTTTAAATTAGGTCAATGTAACGGTTTTTCTTCTTGTTATTCAATACTGTCTCTTTCCCTTCTCTTTTATCAGTTAATTTCTGGGGTCTTTTTTTGCAATTCGGCTATTGAGGCATGGCCCGCCTAGATTAGTCTTTGCTAGTTGCGGGCATGCCCTTTTCTGTAAAATTTAATTGGAAATCAATAAAGTGTGTGTATGTGTGTTCAGTTTCAAAAGCTATAAATCCAGTCCAAATATTTCAACAAGATTAAGTGCCTTCTGTGCTCGAGTCTTTAGTTCTTTTAATTTTCTGTGTGTGATTGTTTGGTTTTGAGGTCTAGAATTTCAGTTCCTCTGTGAATCCCCAAACTTTTAATTCTGTTACCTGTCAATGTACTTAGTAAGTTGTTGATTTTTACCGTTTAGTTTTCTTAAACTTTCCTTTTCTCTGACATATTCTATTCTAATCTCTGAAATCTTTAACCAGTTTCTCCTTTTCATTCCTCAAGATTTTGATATTTTGCTCTCCAGATACATATTTCTTTCTCTGCTTTTTCAAGTTTTGACTGAATGGCATGCAGATCTGCTCCCTACTTCTCTACCGAGGTCACATCATTTTTCAAAATAACCAGCTTACACAATTTTTCCTCATGCCCCTTTCTGTTTTTACAATTTCCTTTTCTGTTCAGAGTCTGATTTGTGATTGAAGCGGTTTGAAAGTCGGCCTTCAACTCGATCACTCTCTCAACTGATCTTAAACGCATGGCCAGGGATGATTCCATTTAGCATGTCAATGTATGCAACGCCTTGGGTGTCTTTTTTCAATTTGTGCCATTGCATTAGTGCGGCATTCTTAACCGCCAGCCAGAATAGGACTTCATTACCACCTTCACTTTGTTTTGTCACATATTTTAACTGAGCTTCTGGTGGACCGCAAATATATATGAGGGGGTCACGGACCGGGTGACGATCAGACATTTTTCATTATTGTTTTGATTTTTTTTCCCGCGCGAAACCAAAACAAAAAATTCTTAAATTTCTCCAAAAGGGCATCTTCTACCGAGCCTCCAGCCTCGTGATCACCCCCTGTAGTTACCAGTCTTTTATCTTTCATTGAGCCGTAGGTATTAAAATAGCGATCGTTTTTGCACAGAATTTAGTGCGAAGAAGAGAGACGTTCAGTACTGTTATTTCAGCGCGATCGAAGGAAGATTACTGTTCGTAGATGCGTTCATATTTGCTGAAAGTAGGCAAAAAAAAAGCGGCAATATTTTTAGGGTTTGCAAAGTTCTTTTTGCCGTAAATGTGGAATGACATCTTTGAACTTAAACAATTTGATTGGGATGGATCGATACCAGCAAGGGATTTCGACTGAGTTAAGATTCGGGAAATGATATTTATGAAGGTAGACGCCATTTTCCGTATTGTAATGAGAATAAAACGTTGTAAGTTATAACGGAAAAAAACCGCAACGACTGTTTCATTTACCAAAACACAGTAATTCTGTAATGAAAGTACTGATGAGTATCATTCAAACTGGCATTGGGATGGCGGGGTTACGTCCATAATACGAATTTTATTAACTGGTTTTAAATGAATCCCATACTAAGCTTTGTATTCTTCAGCGAGTTTTTAAACTCTTCTAAGACTCTAAGTCTTGCGGTCTATTGCGCACGCGCGATTCGGAATTTCTGGCCATGATTGGCTCATTACGTGGAAAACCCCGTTATTACGTATGCTACGCCGCAACGTATCATATCCTTAGACAAGTCTGTGATTTAATTCTTCTCGTTGGTCAGCTAATTACTATAATTCCAGAGGTCTGTGAAGACGGTATTTTTATTATAGTGTCAAAAATAACTCTTGACTAGTAGCAATGCCTTATTACTACCAGTGATATGTAATTTGAGTATGATTGAACGGGCTCGCCTAGACGAAAAATAAAAAAAAATTTTCATTTCAAAACCTACACATTTAATAACTTGTACTATATATTTTCAAATGCTTCGATAGTATTACGTTTTACAGTAGTATCGCCTTATAAGCACAAGGCTTGTTAAGTTTCTCGTGCATCACCCCGCATAAAGGTGTCTGCCAAGAAAAAGCTATGTATTTCAAATATGGAATTACGCAAAAAATGGTCCAAAGTCATATTTAATTTTTTTTCATTGTAACACCAACATTTACAGCAATTATATTCTATTACTATCAAAGGTATACAAATTGGTCATGATTGAATACACGCTCTGAAAAAAGTGCCTTAACGGCACAAGGCCTTAGACTTGCTGCTATCAAATACATTTGACTTCCATAGATGGCAAAACTAACTGTCATTCACTTTCATTAATGTGAATTAACCATTCTAGCTCCAGTTACATGTGTACAAATTATTAAGTTTTCATTCAAAGGCAAGAATAACAAGGCTAATTTTCATGAACACAAAATATTGCTGATCATGTTACCATTAGGAGGTCTATGGCAACCCCTCCTTGTTGCTTATTAAATTCGTCTATCTAAATGTATTATCTCGCTATTTCCAGCGCTGAGTCCTCTTGGAGACTTACTTATCATTACGTAAATCAAATAATAGCGTTGCCTGTACCGAACCTTCTACCAATACTGCTCTTACACAATACACCTTTTATCGCAAATTTGCTGCGAAAACTACTACTAACGCTACGTTACACGAGATTATTTTTAAAGAGACAGTCTTGACAAAGTTTAAGCCTCCTAAAGCTCTCATGTTTAACAAGCTCTTGTTTGTTAAACACTATGATAATTATTATCATCATCATTTCTATCTTTCATATCATCTTTTTTTTTTTTTTGCTTTCGATCCTTAGGTCTTATACGAAATATGCTCCGCAGAATAACTAGAATGGCTTTGTTTTTCCTTTTTTTTTTTCGGGTGCACGTGCCAAAAAAATTCCATAAAAGGCGGAAAAAAAGATGTACGTCTACAGCGGTGTCGCTAATGCGTTTAAACACCTATAGAAAAATGAGATGATTGTTCAAAATACGCCACGGATAATGATTACCGAAATTATTGGTACACCTTAACTGCCCTAAAATATTTTAATATGTTGTATTCGGTAATTATCTCATTGTGGCGAGTGTACCAAATACGTAAACAGTGCCTCTCGCACGTGCTAATTGGCTGGTTCGGAAGTAATTGACAAGTACTGTTTGCCTCCAAGCATAATTGTTGATCTTGCAAATATTCGTCATCTTGCGTTGCTAATTTTTGAACCGAGATCAAAAACTAGCAACGTGTCAATATGACAATGCTACAATAAGGTCGTGAGATCAATGCCACGAAATAACTTGTTACAAAAAAAATTGTTTTGTGGAAATTTTTTTTTCTTTGCGACCAGTCTAATTATTGCACGCCACACTGGCATCCTCACTATGTGCACAGTTATGTTTTTCCCAGCCAGGGAACGTACATCGAGATAACATTGCCTCTCCCCCTTGGCAGTAGACATCATCCATCCAGACTGGGTCAGAACCCTGACCGTATTTAGCGCAACAACTAGCCTGAGATGCACTAGAGAAGCCGAGCTGACGACAAACCACATTGGCTTCGTTAATTGTCCAGTGATCATCACACACTGTGCCCCACTTCCCGTTGTGATAAACCTCTACACGGCCGTAGTTTGCTCCACCGCCCATTAAACGGATAGGAGCGTCCTCATTAGTGGCTGTGTGATCAACATATTACTGACTAAGTATTGGAGGTATCTGAGATCAAACTGGCCTCAGCTGTGCTTGAATCATTTAAATTAGGCTTTAAATCATCCGAGGAACGGTCTCGGAAGTGCTGTGGAAATCATGCTTAACCCTTTAACTCCCAAGATCTTATTGTCAATTCTCCCCTGGTGGTAGATGAGAATAACAAAAACCTGCCTGCTACGTTCGAGGAGAGCAATAACAAATAACATTGGCAAAAAGTAAAAGTTATCACCGAGAAGCAATGAAAGAAGTAACCATGGAGAAGACTCGGTTGAAAATATATTAAAATATCAAAATTCCAAAATACATACAGTGTGAGAGAAATAAGGACATTTCGCCAAAACGAGCCCCTTTAGCAGTTTAGAAGTTTTCTTGCTGTTGTTTTTGTAGTTGATGCTGTTTTTAACTGCACTTACGTCGTTTTCAATAATTTTATAACACGAGCTGAGGTCGCTTACAGTGTTCAGAGATTGTACCGATTAAAATAAACTGAGAAGCAGAATGTCGCGGCAATAGGTCTTCCCTACCCAAAAAGAATGTAGAAGACAAGAGGAGGAAGCGTAAGGATATAAAGGAAGAAGGATCCATCAACTGGATACTAAAAAATCAAAGCAATAACGAACAGGTGTGCTATAATAGGATTATAAGCCCTCTTAGATGGGTTTTTAGTCAATCAGAAATAACCTCCTAGCAATTCATCTAATTTCCTTAGAAGTTTTTTTCAACTATACCTATTTCTTCTTCTTAGCTAAAGGGTGCCACTATAACACAATATATTAGCTGGCCCAGGATTGAGACCATTGCATCATCTACCTGGCAACCAAATGTGCCTTAAATAGCCTTACCTGTGCAAGATTTCCCATCACCAGAGAATCCACTCACACACTGACAGTGAAATGAGCCTTCAGTATTCTGACAATTGGCATTTGGATCACAGACGGGTATGGAAGAGCTGCATTCGTCAACATCTACAAAAATCAAATGGACAGTAGTGGAACTCCGATTAATGACTTTTACTGCTTGTAACTCTAAAAGGAAACATAGGAAGAAGTGACAAGAGACCTGTTAAATATCGGTGGTACTATTTTTCAACACCTGGAATAACACAATATAAAATTTTCCCCCCTCAACTCTCCCTCCTATACACCCTTAAATCTCTTGTTAATTCGATTTTCTGAAATTGATTCTTTCCGCCCTTAACTCTAAAAGGAAACAGAGCGAGAACTCTGCAAGAAAATTACTCTTTGAAGCTAAGCTTAAGGGATTTGAGTAACAGACTACCTGGTCATGCTGGTTGGTGTTATATGTTAACCAACTACAAAGAAATAAGGACGCATATGGTTGTATCCAACCACTCTTTCTTGGATGGATGTTAATATTCCTTGAATAACAAAGTTCGAAATCCTCATCCTACACATCCTCCTTAAGTCTCTTAATGATTCGATTTTCTAAAACTGCACTTCTACCTATTTATTGGTTCCCTTAGAGAGGAATCGGAGAGTAAGGAATCTACTTCAAAAACATAACACACTTACATGACTAAGGCCCAAACATCTGCGTGTACCATGCAACCACCAAAACTGCCTTAAAAAATAGCCTTACCGATGCAAGATTTCCCATCACCAGAGAATCCAGTCACACACTGACAATGAAATGTGCCTTTCGCATTCTGACAATTGGCCTTTGGATCACAAACGGGGGCGGAAGAGCTGCATTCGTCAACATCTGCAAAGAAATTAAACAGTCAGTAGTGGAGTTCCGATTGATGACTTTTACTGCTTGTAACTCTAAAAGGAAACACAGGTAGAAGTGACAAGAGACCTGTTCAATATCGGCGATGTTATTTTTCAACATATGGGCGCACTTTGTTACATCGCAACACATTTCGCGAAAGGGTGTTCAAATTTGTTGGAACAACACCATTCAAAACTTTCAATGCCAAAGTAAAGTGCATGTCTGAAATACTTCGTCTATACCTAATAACCGACAGCATACTAAAAACAATAATACTTTCATTAAACTGCAAGTTTTCTGATAGCAAATAAGTCACTTCTTGAAGGTAAGGCTGAAAGGGATATGTGACAAGTGACGTGGTTATGCTGGTTGGGGCGTTTCGTACCCAGTCTCTTTGTACCCGGCTTTGTCGATTCGCACTCAGTTGGTTGAGTCACTTTGCACCCAAACTAATCAAGTAGACTGTTCATGCTTATATGTTAAACGATAAGAATAAACAGAAATAAACGAATTTACAACCGTTTATAGCAAAGGGATAAAAGTCTCACTTTCGCTGGCTCTTATTTTGTTTTATATTTTATTACTTATAAAGTATTACTTTTATTTTATTGTTTTTATATATTTTTTTAAAATAAACGAATTTACAACCGTTTATAACAAAGGGATAAAAGTCTCACTTTCGCTTGCTATTATTTTGTTTTATTTCCACCTTCCTTCAATCTCTTTTTTATTCTATTTTCTAAGAGTGTGCTGGTAAATATTTGTGTTCTCAGCCCCAAAATACAGCACACTCACAAGACTAAGGCCAAAACCTCGGCGTTCATCAAGTTACCACCCTATCTCTCAAGAATATCCTTACCGGAGCAAGATTTCCCGTCAGCAGAAAATCCAGTCTCATCTCATTTCCTTACAAGTTTTTTTCAACTCTACTTATTTCTTCATCTTGACTAGAATGCCACCATAACACAATAGATGAACTGGGCTAGGATCGAAACCATTGCATCATATACTTGGCCACCAAATGTTCCTTAAATAACCTTACCTGTGCAAGATTTCCCATCACTAGAGAATCCACTCACACACTGACAGTGAAATGAGCCTTCAGTATTCTGACAATTGGCATTTGGATCACAGACGGGTATGGAAGAGCTGCATTCGTCAACATCTACAAAGAAGACAAGTAGTCAGTGGTGGAACTCCGATTGATGATTTTTACTGCTTGTAACATTAAAAGGAATCGTAGGGAGAAGTGACATGAGACCTGTTCAATATCGGTGGTGTTATTTTTCAACACCTGGGCGCACTTTGTTTCATTGAAACGCTTTTCGTGAAAGGATGCTCAAATTTGTTGAAGCTTATATGTTAATCGGCAAAAAAGAAACTAGAACACATATGGTTATATCAAACCACTCTTACTAGGATGGATATTAATATTCCTTGAATAACAAAGTTCCAAATCCCCTCCTTCCTCCATCCTACACATCCTCCTTAAGTCTCTTGATGATTCAATTTTCTAAAACTACACCACTACCTATTTATTGCTTCCTGTATAGAGGGATCGGAGGGTAAAGAATCTACTTCAAAAACATAACACACTTACATGAGTAAGGCCCAAACATCTGTGTTTACCGTGTAACCACCAAGTCTGCCTTAAAAAATAAACTTACCGGTGCAAGATTTCCCATCACCAGAGAATCCACTCACACACTGACAATAAAATGTGCCTTCCGTATTCTGACAATTGGCCTTTGGATCACAGACGGGGGTGGAAGAACTGCATTCGTCAACATCTGCAAAGAGATTAAATAGTCAGTAGTGGAGCTCCGATTGATGTTTATTACTGTTTGTAACTAAAAAAAAAGGAAACACAGGGAGAAGTGACAAGGCTCCTGTTCAATATCGATGGTGTTATTTTTCAACACCTGCGTGCACTTTGTGACATCGAAACACCTTTCGTAAAAGGATGTTCAAATTTTTTGGAACAACACCATTCAAAACTTAACAACTAAGATAAGTTTTTAATGCCAAAGTAAAATACATCTCTTTAAGAGAGTTCAGCAATAGCTAATAGCCGACAGCATACTAAAAACAATACATACTTTCATGAAACTGTAAGTTTTCTGATAATAAATTGATCACTCCTTAAGGGCAAGGTTGAGAGGGATAACTGACAAATGACCTGATTCTGCTGGTTTGTGTTATATGTTAACCCGTTACCAGCCTTCTTATACCAGGGACGTTTCATTCAAAGCCCAGTCGCTTTGTACCCGGCTTAGTTGATTCGCACCCAGTTGGTTGAGTTGCTTTGTGCCCAAACTAATCAAGTAGATTGTTCATGTTAATATGTTAAATGATAAGAATAAACAGAAAAAAACGAATTTACAACCGTTTATAACAAAGGGAGAAAAGTCTCACTTTCGCTGGCTCTTATTTTGTTTTATTTCCACCCTCCGTCAATCTCTTTTTAATTTTATTTCCTAACAGTGTACTGGTAACTATTTGTGTCCCCTTATCTCAAGAAAGGGACCAAAAATTAAAGCGTCTATACCCAAAACATAACACACTTATAACACTAAGGCCAAAACCTCGGCGTTCATCAAGTTACCACCCTAACTCTCAACAATATCCTTACCGGAGCAAGATTTCCCGTCACCAAAGAATCCAGTCAAACACTGACAACGATACGAGCCTTCTGTGTTCTGACAATTGGCCTTTGGATCACAGTCAGGGATGGAAGAACTGCATTCGTCAACATCTGCAAATAAATCAAATAGTCAGAAGTGGAGCTCTGATTGATGATTCTTTCCGCCCATAATTCTAAAAGAAAACAGAGCGAGAACTCCACAAGCAAATTACTCTTTGAAGCTAAGCTTAAGGGCTATGAGTGGCAGACTACCTGGTCATGCTGGTTGGTATTACATGTTAACCAACAAAAAAGAAATTAGGACACATATGGTTATATCAAACCACTCTTTTTAGGATGGATGTTGATATTAAGATGTTAAAAATAAACTTACCTGTGCAAGATTTCCCATCACCAGAGAATCCACTCACACACTGACAGTGAAATGAGCCTTCAGTGTTCTGACAATTGGCATTTGGATCGCAGACGGGTATGGCAGAGCTGCATTCGTCAACATCTACAAAGAAATAAAAAAGTCAGTAGTGCAGCTCCGACTGATGACTTTTACTGCTTGTAACTCTGAAAGGAAACACAGGGAGAAGTGATGAGAAACCTGTTCACTATCGGTAGTACTATTTTTTAACACCTGGAATAACACAATTTAAATATCCCCCCCCCCCCCACTCTCCCTCCTACACATCCTCACATCCTCAAATCTTTTGTTGATTCGATTTTCTGAAATTTTTCTACTACCTATTTACTGCCCTTTCTTGCTGAAAAGTGATGGAAAGTAAAGAACCTTCTTCAAGAACATAACAAGCTTACACGATTAGGGCCCAAACCTCTGTGTTTACCATGCAACCACCAAGTCTGCCTTGAAAAATAACTTTACCGGTGCAAGATCTCCCATCACCAGAGAATCCAGTCACACATTGACAATGAAATGAGCCTTCCGTATTCTGACAGTTGGCCTTTGGATCACAAATGGGGATGGAAGAGCTGCATTCGTCAACATCTGAAAAAACATTAAATAGTCAGTAGTAGAGTTCCGAATGATGATTATTACTGCTTGTAACTCCAAAAGGAAACATAGGAAGATTCGTGGAAGGATGTTCAAATTTGTTGGAACAACATAATTCAAAACTACACAAATCAGTGCACAAAGGCCTTGGCAACGATACGGCAGAAGTATTGATGACAAACAATGCAAATGCTGCACAACAGGCAATTGTTTGTGTAAATATTTTTAAGTCAATCACATTTTACATTTCAAACTGAAATGATCTCAGGGCCAGTAATGATTGTCTACGTTTTTTAATGTGGAGTTTGCTCTGAGAGGATAAAGGCAAAAAACTTAAACATCGATTTTCATGATGAATTAAGGTACCTTCTGTTTTCATGTCGCAGTAAGCGAATACAATCTTTTCAGGTATGATGGAGTAAATCCAGTATCTTGCACTGACCGCTTGCCCTCCTTCACTTGTTTTAATCTCTTTACACGTTTCAGCCGGAAGTTCTGGAACGGACCCGAGAGGCACTGAAAAACAACGGATTGTTTCTTGTTTACATATATCATTTATCATTCCATAATACATGCTTAATTCTTTATTTTCTTTTTTCTAACTTTATCATTAAGGTTTCACCTCTCTTCATGTCTTTTCTGAAATAATATCGTTCAAAGTTTGGTACAAAATCTTCTGGTCTGGCTTCCTTGGTACGGTTGCTCAATTCGCAAATGTCTTCGGTAAAGACGTAGTTAAAACTCTGGCATCTGATGTCTTGGTAACATTCCCGTAAACATACATCACCGAAAGCCGCTTTTGTGATATTCTTGAAGATGTGTCCTTGCAGCATCATACCCAAGATCGACACTTCTCCTTTTGCGCTGCTATGTTGAGAACTTGCATCTAAGAATGTTGGACTTACAACGATCAGCACTAGCAGAGTAAGGGCCATCTTGCTCCACTCATTGGCTCGATGACACCTAATGGCGATAAGAGTACTAGTAGATTGGACGGATGGAAAATTTTGCTAAGTCGCTGAGACTTTGTGGAAGGAGGCGACAAAATCATTCAAGGATTATTTATTGTTTGCGAAAAATCCAGCGGGCGCCAACAGTTGCTTAAAGCCATATAAAACAATCCTTTTCCAAGTTGAGACTAATAAAAGACCTTCAGGAGATCGCAACGTTGACCTGCCCAAATAAAAGATCTACTTCACAGAACAATACCCCAGCTCGTGCGTTGTTTATTTCTTACCCTTTGAAAAGTATAAAATCAATTCTACGATCAAAGGTACTCACAAGGTAAGGTCCCTCTAGACGAAACTAACCGTTCATGAAAGGTACTTAAAGAAGGAAACAAAAACTAACATAAAAACCAAAAGAGTTATCGTCCTCTAAATCCAGGGAATTATCAAGAGCACGCTTGTCGACGTAAGCGTAACAATATACATACATAATCCTTATTCTAGCTTACTCCCGTCGATGCCAAAAAACAATTCCTTAGAGCTTAACCCTTTATAAATAAGATAAATTAAATGGAGTGTGAGTAGAATTTGACAAACACTTGAAGCTGCTGCTTTAAATAACATGAATTTACATTTCGTTAAAGCCAAAAGGTTTTACCGACGAACTACTAAAAAAAACAGGCTTACCAGTAATAAATGTCTTCTCCCCAGAAGAACTGCTTCTTTCTTTTGCTATGCGCTCTTTCTGGTTATCAGATATGAATTAGGTCTCGAGTATCGACAAGCTGGTGTTTAAAACATGGCCGAAAAGATGTATTTCGAACGGGTTTAAGTAAACAAGCGTTGTTTAAGCTAATTGCGCTGCTTTTGACGTTGTTGCGTAGACAAACAGAAAATATATCACATTACATAATTTTTATTCTCGAGTAAAGTTGGATAAGAACATCAAAACTTCTTAGTTGTATAGGCATAAGTACGAGGGAAGTTATGATAGTACACGTATAAAAGTAAGAACACAGATAGGAATGCTCTGGTTCCTTCTCCAAGTTGATAAAATGAAAATTAGTTTATCTCATTGATTATACTAAGCAACCAAATTGAATTAAATTGTTTGCTTAATTTGACTGTTATTCAATATACTAAGACACGAATCTCCAAATTAAGAACCACGTTCTTTCTTTTCCATGCTTTGACAGCAATTAACCACAAATACGGTAACAAAAATAAATACATGAAGACCATTATATAGATAAATAGGAACAGGTTTTGGGCTGTCGTCCATCTTCAGTGAGAATTCCGCGGAGCTTAGCATACATTTAAACATTTCATATTGCATTTTTTTCTACAAGTTAAGGAAATAACAGATGTTTAAAAGTTGGACACCAGAAACTATTACTTAAACGTTGATCATAATGTTTCATTCTGCTCTCTCGCCAGGAAAACGCTTCCTCAACATTTTATTTGAAACATTTGGAAACCTGTCTTTCAAAACTTCACGTCAGAATGCAATCTATTTTTGTAAGTTTGAGCCGTGAAAGCAAGTGATGTGTAAGCATGCAATAAAAATTTGAACCTGCCGTATTCAGCACTGGTCTCCTGCTTCTTGTAATGAATGGGGGAGTCTTTCTTTCAGAATTACTGACAACTTCCTGTTTATTGCCTGAGGTTATGAGGCAAAGTCCACGTCTTAAATTAACGTTATTTACAACACCTTTTTAAAAGATGAAACAACAGCACATGACTTATTTTTTCATTAAGATAATTTGGTTTCATTATCTGAGTTGTTAATGTAGATTGGTCTCCATAAAGAGTTTTAAAGCTGACATTTCGAGCATTAGCTCTTGGACCTTATCATTGCTTCTAAAATTTGTTTTTCTAAGTATTTCTTCCACCTAACCGCAAATTGAAATAAATATGCTGCTCAAATGGTGACTGTAATTCAATAACTTAAAACACCAATCTCTAGCTTAAGAACCGCTTTCGTGTTTTAACAGCAAAACCGAAAATCCGATAACAAAAAGAAATATATGTAGATAAATAGCAACAACTCTTTGGTTGTGTTCCATCATCAATGTGAATATAATATTTTATTATTTTGCTGAGTTCAGCTTACAATTGAGCATTTTACATTTCATTTGCAATTATTGCCTTTAAAGTAGGGAAATAAGAGAAGTTAAAAGCCTGTCGTTTTAACGTGGATCAAAATTTTTCTGCTTTTGTTTTCATTACAACTAAACACCACCTGTAAGGAGAACATTAAAGAAATCTTTCCTGCAGGTTCCATTACCTGTCAAACAGTAACAGAAGAACTACCGGAAGAGGGAAGATTGTCCTTAGATAGTAAAATATTATACGTTAGGCGCACTCCGTTTGAATGCATATGTCGCAATGTAATTATTGCAATGTTTGTCGCGTAAAATGTTTAATTTAAGAGAGGATGTCAGCATCCGTCGAACAAATCTGCAATATTTTGGCAAGTCACCTAAAATTCGTTTTCACTCCTACTTTCATTTTTTGTAGCCCAATATGTCCTAATAATTTTGGTGTGGTTTTTTTGCGAAAATATATTTTAGTTTTCGAGAATTAATTATTTTCGTTCGACCACTCAAATATGCAAATTTTAACCGTGAATAATACCTGAGTTGTGTGACCTCCTATGACGAATATACTTGACCTCCGGTAATTATGTCAACATAATCCGTTGTTTTATCATCTAAACTTAATCCCCTGTCGTTATTGAAGCTGGCAAAGAAACATTTATTTTTTGGTGAATATTTTTGGCCGAAATACCTTTCCTGTGTCGAAAAGTAGCATAAAAAAGACAGTTTTAACGATGACCGATATGAAAGAGTCTACTGAATTTCTAGCTTTTAAAAGACAAAAGGACGGATTCAAAGTAAAAAAATTTCCTTGTGTATTTATATATTTCTATCCTGAGACGAACTCAAAGTCCGGAAAAATTTACTTGCTAGCGACTATGAAATTTACACGGTCTGCTTACTTGCCGCCACCGTTTACTAACATAAATCACTACAATTTGTAGAAAAATCATTACATTCTTACCTTGTTTATTTAAGATTTTATTAGCTGTTTGGATTATTATATTACGCCTGGGTATTACTTTTTGCCAGGAGCTCAGGTTTTACGTTGTGTTTTCACCTCCCCAGTTTTTAACATAAGCTAAGCACGCAATAATTGATACCGACACAAATGAATATTTACCATGTATAAAGATTTTTTTTATGTTAAATTGAAATTATTAGAATATGTACTTTTTGTGGTCACCAATCGTTGTTTCAGTGGCAGCGACGCGGTTCAAAGCGGGTTGTTTCTTCAACGCTATTGAAATTTGTAGTATTCAGACAGGAAAGCAAAGCGTGATGCTCCGGGGATAAAATCTTTAGGGGACCTTTTACATGATATCGGAAAGAGTTTTGTTCAAGAACGAGTTCATCCCGGTTGCCACATGATTCCAGAGTAGAATTTATACGAAACGAGTCATTTCTGAAATACTTTATTGGAATTTTCATTCCAGAACGAAACACTCATTCTGGACGACCTTTTGTACCTGTATAATGTGACGCGGTACGACACTCATATCTGTATGAATCCTCTTTAAGAGCGGGGGAAGCATAGAAAGGTACAGAAAAGGAGATAAATATTTGTAACTTCTCACCCTCTGAGTCAACCCTGTCGCGTATCTTTTTATTTTAAGATGCACCTCTCACGAGGTTTTTCACGGGTGATTCCATAATAGCCAATCATAAGAGAGCTGTGGTCGTCTATTGTTTACGTCACATGCAGGCCGCACGAAAGGATCTCAATAACGGCGAAATGAGGTAAAGTTTATCCGACGAAAGTTCTGATATCTATCAGACAACCTCCCGCCATTTTTTTAGGGTGTTCAGCAAACGTCAGCGTGTTTTCGCGGGAAATTATAGAACTCCCCCCACATATTTTAAGGCCCCACATATTTTTAAGGCCCCTGGGCCTGATGGGATTCCGACTCGTATTTGGAAAGAATATGCTGCTGAGCTCGCTGAGCCGATCACGCGAATATTCAACACCTCTATTGCATCAGGCTCCTTCCCTACTGCATGGAAAGACTCTAATGTCACACCGGTACCCAAGGTTACGCCCATAACCGGTAGGGAAGATTTAAGACCTATCTCCCTAACTGCAATCGTCTCTAAAGTCCTGGAGGATTTCGTAGTTGAATGGCTAATTGAGGATGTTGTGCACCTCATCGATTTCAGCCAATTCGGCTGCCTCAAAGGAACTTCAACCATCTTTTGCCTGTTGGATATGATGCACAACTGGTTGTCCTCTATTGACAAACCAGGTATGTTCTTAAGGGCCTGCTTCCTGGATTTTAGTAAGGCTTTTGACCATATTGACCACACTATCTTAGTCAATAAACTCATCCACCTTGGGGTCCGTGGTTTTATTATCCGTTGGATTTGCAGTTTTCATTATGGCCGTCGCCAAGCTGTTAAGATTAAGAACATTGTATCCCCTTGGTTGCCCGTGCACGCTGGAGTCCCGCAGGGCACTAAGCTTGGCCCCATCCTGTTCCTCCTGATGATTAACGATCTCGCGATTGAAACTCCATTACTATCGAGCCACTGGAAATATGTAGATGACCTAACAATATCCGAGGTCATCCCATCAGGCGGTACATCGTCCCTTCAGAAAGATCTTGACGCCATTGCACAGTGGTCGTCGCGCAATAATATGAACCTCAACCCAAAGAAGTGCAAGGAACTTGTGATTTGTTCGCTTAGAACACGGCCAGATCTTGGCCCTTTGTGCGTCAATGGACGTCCCTTAGAACGGGTCTCCTCACACAAGGTCCTTGGAGTCACTATCAGCGACACTCTTGGGTGGAATGAGCACGTGCGTGAGATTGTCTCCAAAGCCTCAAAACGTCTTTACATCTTAAGAGTGCTCAAGCGGTCCGGAATTCCACCCGAAGACCTTATTAACAT